ATAATTGCCAGCAAAAATACCAGTATTTCAGGGTTTCTGTTCAGCGTTATCTCTTTAAGAAAAATAAAACGATACCTTCTAAATGTTGCACCTTTGTAAATATTTGAAGCTTTACGCTGAAGTTCTTGTTGCTCCGATGGCGTAAATGTCGAGAATGTTCTGTTGCCATATTTTTGATTAAGTTTTGATAATTCCAATTCATTACGCTTTCGTTTGGCACTTGATAAAGCTGAAGTAACGATTTCATCACATCTTTGAATCAAAATGAAAAAAGAGAAGATTTAAATTTCCTTCGAGTAACACAAGCAGATCATCAAGTCATACCGTTATTCGGATTGTCGATCTTCTCACTGTTTGGTTTATCGGTCCTTTCCTCGTAGTGTTGTTCACTTAATATGACCTCATCAGGTTGTTTATTCAGTATCTCACTTTGTCCATTCCTGTTGCTTAAATCAATAGGCTCTTCTTCGGACTCATCGAAGTATTCTTGTACAGCATATTCCGTTTCACTTCCACTTTGCTTGATGTTATCATCTAAAAGTATTCTTTTGCGTGAAGAACGTGCCATATTTCTAAAAATATTTGTTTTTTTTATTTGTTTTGCAATATTGCAGGATTTCTTGCAAATTTCAATTGGTTCCAACAAAACCGTTTCTAAAGAAGTATCGGTCACTTACAAATGATATGATTAATGAATTTCGGCTTCCGCTTATTTCGCGCCGATCCATTTTCAACTGCAACTATACCAAATTCTTCATTCACTGAAAAATGTTTCAATTTACATAGTGTTTCCTAACCTATTTATTTTACAATATTGCAGGATTTCTTTCAAATTTTTGCTACATTGAATACATATAAACATATATATATAAACTATCTTTCTTAACCTTAACCGTAACCTTCTACTGCTATTTTCCTATTCAGAAGGTAATAAAATTTATTTTGAATATATTCCGATGATAAAGACTATCAAAAAATCGTACTCTTATAAGTATTATTGCTTCCGCCAGCAGAAGTTTGCATTTCGTTTTCTGTTTGCATCATCAGCGCTCTCTTTGCAATGGCTTCTCCTGCTTTTCCGTCTCTGTTTTCTACTTTTCTCATTTCTTCAATTCTCTGCAATTCTGCAGCGACAGTAAGAGATTCAATTTGCATCAATGAGTTCGATTCATTAATCACTTTCTTCTGCACAGTTACTGTATTCTGCAAATTCATCCATATTTAGTATGGTTATAAATATTGCCGCATCTCAATCACTGTGATATATTTTCGGGAAGAATTAAAATTATCTCAACGGACTTGAACGCTTATTTTTACTCACCTTGATATTAGCATTTCCATATTTTTCCGCATAGCGTGGCGTTGTCTCAGGGGGTTGCTCTAGAATTTCATTTGTGACTTCCGATGATGCCATTTTCAACTAAAATCAAATTGTGAAATCTCCCAATAATTCAATTAACTTCAGCTATTTTTTTAATTGACACGTGAAAATTGCTACACCGATGGAAGAAAAGCCGCTATAATAGCAATCGATTTGTCTTATTCTTTCTCCGAGAATATATCTTCTGGAATTTCACTATAAGATGATTTCTTATTCTAATCCTTAAAAAGCGTCTTCAGAAGCTTAATATTCTTTTTTAACAAAAAGAAATTCCTTTTCCTAACTTCTGGCTTCTTTATTCCTTTTTCTGTAATAGAAAGGCAATAAAGAAATGACCAATTAATTAAGCTTGGAATATAAATAAAAGCTATGAATTATTTCAAATGAAAGAAACTTTTCATTCAGGCAATTTTTTCAAAAATTACATTAAACTTTAAAAATTTAAATTTCATGATTTTATCGACGTGGATTCGAATACATTTTTTCAACAAACTTAATTTTTTATACCATTCAATTTGGATTTTCCAAAATTGGATTTGAACAAAAGCTTTGTAAGTTATGAAAAAACGAAATTTTTAAAATCAAATATAAAATGTAAATGAAAAAAAGTAAATGGATTACGGTAAGCAAAAGAGTGTTCTCACAACCGCTCAGATTGGCAGTGGTAAGTGTTAATGATGCCCAATGGTCAGTGACAATGAACACCAATCTCCTCTCCACAGCTGACATTTTTTATAGATTTTGTAAATGATGAGAGAAGAGGTGGAAAAGGACTGTTTTATGCATTCTTGATGCCTGAATGGGTGGAATATCCTAAGACAATCTTCATGGGCTGAAAAATCTGACAAGTAATTGCTTTATAATCACTAAATTAAACAAATTTTACAGAAACAATTGAAAATCTTTTGAAAAAGCAAAATATCGATGGTAGGTAAGCAAAGTCACCAGAATTAATTACAACAAACTCTATCGGTTGAAAGGAATAAGTAAGCATCATGAAGATATATTAAATGACCCTATTCGTATTTTCCCTGGATGGAATCTTTGATCAAGAAATGCTTCAATTTTTTATCCAAAGAAACTACAGACGACTAATAAATAATAACATGCAATAAAATGACCAGTGATCATTTTCTTATTATTTTTCAATAATTGAGGAATTAATTTTTCAATGAAATATAACTATGGGTTAGTAAGATAGCTGAAATAAGCTAAGTCAAAAATAAAGCAAAACATTTTTTTCTTCAATAGTTTGATGAACAGAATAGTGTAATACAGAGAATCTGAGTTCAGTCTTGCAATTGTGAATACAACGCGATTCTCGATAAACGATAAACTTTAATTTGATGAAAGAATTTGAAACTTTTCATATCCAAAAATAAAGAAAATGAAGAGGAAGATTTCAGAGAAGCGGACTTTCGCAATAGATCAACTACTAAAGTGATCGATTGGACCAGCAAAGTCCACAACATAGATAATTTCTTGTTTTTTTTTTTTAATTTCATTGAATTATTTAAGAATTTGATTACCGTTTAGCAGTTTTTTTTAATCGGTAAAGTACAATACGATGTACGGTTTTTGACTTTTAACTAGAAAGCAATCGAATTTTTCAGAAATTAATTTTAACTAATATATTGGAAATTCTGCAGAATCTATCAACATGACTATCAGAAAAGTAGAAAGATATATTTGACGCAATAAATCGCTTTATGTCAGACTTATGGAAGCCATGCAAGATAACTTCCACCTAATACTTCTAAAACTAGATAGATTTTCAAATAAATGAAGGAATTAAAAAAAGGCTTTCTTGGAAAACTATAATTCTTTTCCCCAAAAGACAAAGTAAACAAAGGCTTAGCATTTTCTCTTAAATGTTAATTGCTTAGTTGAAAGAGTTGTAAACTTACATATCAAGTTCTTTTTGTCCACCAGAAATGACAGTTCGTGGAAAAATGAATGTGAGAGATCAGATTAAAAGATATACATTCAGTTTAATCCTGAGAATTCAGTTTTTTAATTACTTTTTACACATCTTTACACCGACACCGCCATCACATCAATGATGACGGATTTAATTAGGAATTCCAATTCCTAACTGGCCGTTGTATATCATGTTACTTATGTTGTCAATTTATTGTCACAATACCAGAAACACAACGAGATAATCCTCAGGTTAACGAATTATGCCACTCTAAGCTAAATTGCTTGTTGTAAATTATTTGTAGTTGATAAGTGAGTTACATTTTTTGTTGACTCGGGGATACTTTTAGCCCTTTCAGGAACTGCACATCAGTGTTAGTAAATAAAGTATGATTCTTAGGACTAGTAAGGTCAAATTCAGAAATAAGTCAAATTAAAATTACAGTCCTCATAACATACTTATCAAATTTAATATGCTTTTTGACTTTCTTCAATGTTTTGAATTTATTTCGTTTGGGTCCTGAAATTCTACTTTAAAAACAGACACCTCAAGAATACCAAAATAACTTGGTTTTGTTTTAATAAAATTTTACTCAATTGCACTTCAAATATGTTATTGGTGCTTCGGACACATAAAGAAGGAAAAATTCGCTTAGGATGTGAGATAATTGCTATATCAACTGCCCATTCAATAGAATAGTGACATAATTAGTTAATCGAATGATTACTCCTTTCCTTTGGGATAATGTGACCACAGATTGACAGTATGATTGACATGATATGCAACAACTAAAAAAAGTCGAGTTCCCAATTAAATTCTTATTTATTATGTCAGTGGTGTCGGTGCAAGAGTATGTATAATCATATTTGGACCAGAAGAAGTGTACGAAATTACTCAGATGTTGTGATTAAAAGCTGAATTCTTAGAAATAAAAAATGAATGCACTTTTTTGCAAAAATATCATCCTTTACTTCTATTTTTTCACAAATTATCATTTCGGATGGGCAAAAAGACATTATGAACACCAAAGAGGGAAAGCTAAGCTTCGCTTATTTTGTCTCCAGAAAAGAAGAACTATACTTATATCGTCTCCCAATTTAAAAAAAACCTTATATTTTATTCATTAATTTCAAAGTTCACCTTTTTCCAGAAACTGGAATAACGAAGGGTTAGGAATATGGACAACAATGAATAGAAGTTGTCTTACATAGTTTCCATAAGTCCTACATAAAGCGATCCATGAGTCAAATACATCTTTCTATGCTTTTGATTGCAGGCTTAAGAAAAAAAGGTCAATAAAAATGTCTCATTCCAAATTAGATGATAAAACTGAATTTATTCATTTTATTACAACTTAAACAAGAGTTTTGCCGAATATGTATATACTTGAAAGTTTCAAAATAACCTTAAAATCCAAAACCTCAGATTTTCGCAAGTGGAACTGGGAGACTGAATTTTCGCACTTTTATATCTTACTCAAAACGTCCACAAAGCAACTGAAATTAATCAAAATGATTGAAATATCAATAATTCTTCAATATGTTATTTTCGGAACATTGATCAAAAAAGATGAAAAGAAGAATTCATCAATGAAGCAATAGTCCGATGAATACATTAATAGAATTTCAAGGTACTTTCTCTTCAATTTAATTTACTAATATAAATTAACCAAACAAAGATATTTCTATAACTCATTACTTT